AACAAAAAATAGCAGGAAGAATCACAGGTAAGACGTTTCTTGCGGAAATTTTGTCAAAATACGCAGGTAAATCCGTAGAAAAATGGAATATTTCTTGTAATGTACCACCATATCACGGTAAAGTTACTTCACACTTTATATAATGTGAGTGTATGACTTTCATATTTTCAGGGTCTTAATAAACATTATGTTTAAGGATAAGTCAACTATTCACAAGTACAAATTTACTTTAATTGGAAACACTATATTATATAAAACATCATCTAGCAAAATTTATACAAATCATTTTAACTTCATAAAGTTCTCAAAAAGAATTTGTGATGTTGGTATTTGATGAATTAGTCTTTTTACTAACTAACAAATATAATATTAATCATGTTTTTTATTTTTATTTTTTAAAATTGTTTTTAACTATAGTTATAAATATATATTTGAGAAAAGTGACATTAATAATGTTTAATCCACCATAAGTTTTTCTACTAATTCCCATATCAATTCTTTTTATACTCCCACACTATTTTTGTATGCATATTAAATTTTTCTCTTCTATTTTAATTTTTGAAGTATAAACTATTATTATTGTTACTATTATTTTTCTCTTCTATTTTTGAAGTATATATATAATTTCAAAAAAACAATACAACCTCAATTAGAAATACATGAATTACCTGCGGATTTTCCTGTGTAAATTTATCTGCAGATGTGCCTGCGGTTTTACCAGCGAATTTATATTGTGAAGCATTATTTCCTGCGAAAATTGAGTAGCAGCAAAATTCGTAGAAATTCCTGAGACTTTACCTGCGATTTTAGATTTATAATAATATTGACATTTTCCTGCGATATTTCCTACGAAATTGTCCTGCGACTTTAGCTGCTAAATTAATTACCCACGACAGTTTTAGCTGGAAACTGAAAATAGCACGAAGAATCGCAGGTAACACGTTTTCTGCGAAAACTTTGTCAAAATTCGCAGGAAATTCGCAGAAAAACAGAGTTTTTCTAGTAGTGAACCAAGGTAATCCACAAGGAATTCAACCACTTCTCAAAGACTAAGATTGAATCATAAAGCTAACTAGATGACTTCTAATTTTTAAATTTTTTTCAACCTCTATACACTACATTATCTATAATTGTTGTGACTATATTTGTATTATCCATATTATTCCCAAACACTATATCTTTTCTATACCTCCAAATGCTGTAAATGGACTCAACTATTAATATTTTCATGAGGTCCACTTTCCAACCTTTTACCTTTTGTTATGCCACTAATCCAACCCAATTCATCAGTTCAATGTTTGGGATCATGAGTCACATCCACCCACTGAAGCACGACCTATCAAATGGGTTTAGTCTTACTGCAGCAGAAAAATAAATGGTTTAAAGTTTCATCATCATTATGGCACAAACTGCAAGTACTATCTTGAAGTATCCTAAATCTTTTCATTCTTTCCTTAGTAGCTAATTTTCCGTGGCAAGCAAGCCATAATCACTGCACTGCTCTAGGCCTGGATTTGTTGAGCTTAATGAGCTTTCTCCAAGGCACCCTTTGGCCATCATCAATGAGAAAATTGTAAAAGGCAGATGCTTTAAATTTTTAAAGATTTAGAGTATTGTTCCACTCTTTCTGCAAGAGCATCAATTTCCCTCTTTGGTTCATAAGCCACGCAAGTTCTAAGAGTTATGTGACTTAATCACATAATTCATCACAGTTGTTCCTTTAAGATATTATGTGTGAATCCACTTCACCCACATATTATCTATCTTGCTACAAAGGTTCCACAAACACTTCAATAACAAGACATCATTCCATACACTAAGATTAAGCAACTGCATCCCCCCTTAAAGATAGGACAACACATCTTCTTCCAAGCCACTAGGCTTTTCTTGCTTATAATATCTTTACCTGTCTAAATAAAGCTTTTACAAATGGAATCTATCTTCTTAATCACAATTTTTAGAATAGGTAGGCATTGCATCCAATACAGAGCCATGGTACAAACAATGCTCTTCACCAGCTAGATTCTTCCTACATAGCTTAGCATTTTAGAATACCAGTGGTGGATCCGAGCCACTATATTTTTCACCAATGGTATGAAGTGATTAATGGTTAGCCTCTTACTAGATAGAGGAACTCCTATATACTTGAAAGGGAGAGTTCCCTCTAGAAATCCAGATAAAGTCCTCAACATCTCTTTATTCCTATAGTCTAAACCTCCAAATTAGATCTTGCACTTACTAGGATTCATCACCAGACCTATGGAATTAGAGAAAATCTTAAATGATTTTAGCATCATTTGCATAGAAATAGCATCTCCTCTACAAAATAGAAGGACATCATCAACAAATGTGAGATTTATGAGATTCAAATTCTCACACTTTGCATGATAGTTGAAATTGGGATCTCTTTTCATCTTATACATAAGCCTATTCATATACTCCATAATGAGGACAAAGAGCAAATGTGAGATGCGATAACCTTGCCTTATACCTCTTTTTGCTTGCAAGAAGTCAAAATACTTTCCCATAATATTGAACATGTAAGAAACTGTGGTAACACCTGTCATGGTCCATTGAATAAATTTGCTAGGTATACCAATATCCTTCAGAATACACTCCAAAGCTCCCAAATTGACCATATCATAGGCCTTTAAGAGATCAACCTGCATCATTATTCTAGGAGTTCCACCTTTCCAAGTGTACCCTTTAAGAAGCTCGTAAGCAAGCATTATATGGGTGTGTATGTTCTGGCCTGGCACAAAAGTCATGATCTTAGATATGATTTTGTAAAATGTGGTACATCCAGCTGTGGGCCTATAGTCCTTCACCTCACTAGCACTGCTACTTTTAGCAATCAGAGATACCACCATACTATTGAAAGCTTTATAAATCTTACCTATCTCAAAGTACTCTTTGACAACAGCAATCACATCAACTTTAATAGTATTCTAGTTGGATTTAAAGTCTCCTATATCTTTAAGAGCTTTGGTGATATCAGCCTTAGTAATGCTTCTGACGAGAAACTCCCTTTGCTCCATATCAAGCTGTTTACACATTCTCATTGCCTATATGTCAACATGGGTGATATTGTTATCTGCTTTCCCATCAAATTTCCATAGAAGTCCAAGATTTCCTTTTCAATTTCCTTCTAAGACTGGATACTAGTACCATCATTCTTTTTCAAATTGCTCAAACAGTTGGAATGCTGCTTAGCTTTAATAGAGGCATAAAAATAAAAGTTGTTTCCATCTCCTTTCCTAAGCCATTCTATTTTAGACCTTTGTTGCAAGATCTTCTCTTCAAGCTCATTAAGAGAAATAACTTCCTCTGTCAGCTCCTTGACTTTTTGAATAATAATAATATTCATTCTATTAGCACTCAACTCCTGTTGGGCTTTTTTGAGATTATCTCTAGCAAATAACAACCTTTGCTTAACATCAGAAAGGGGCGTACTAAAGCTTCTCAGATCATGCTTCAATCTCTTAAGTTTATGCCAAAGAACAAACATAGGACTACACCTTATAGGAGCCTCCCAATTTTAACCACTTCATCATAGCTTGGGAGGTCAACCAAACAATTACTAAACTTGAAATGCTTTTGGATTTTCCTATTCTCATCCTCGCACACCAGATATAATAAGGCATGGTAAAAGATGTTTGGAGGGAGAATCTTTAAAATAGTCTCCATGTTGTTTTGGAACCACTCAATGTTGCCCAATACTCTATCAGTTCTAGAGTATATGGTACCAACATCATGTTTGTTAGACCATGTGAAATAGTCTCCTATGAGCATACACCGGAGTAAGATAATGTTTAAAACCACCTATGTTGTCATAGAAACCACAATGTATAAATTGACTACTACTCTGCACAAACTTCACATCCACTATATTGCTATCCCAATGAATCCAGATCCTTCCATTAGTATGGTCTTTGTAGTTGTCCATGTAATTATCATAAATTTGAATATTCTCCCGAATTGACTTGGCTTTAGTTTCTTTCACTCTAGTTTCGATCAAGATAATGATAGTATGCCTAAGCTCATGGAGATGGGACCTAATCTCACGAATTTTGCCTACTTTATTGAGTCCTCTTTTGTTCCATGAGACTAACATGGATCAATGTTTGTGATCACAAGAGGTTCATTCAAAATCTCAAGTGCCTCAAAACCATTGTTACAATTGATATTACTAGATGATCCAATTAAGATGCTTTTACTTTTATCTCTTGTTGGTTTCCACACCGTTGTCCAAGGCTCCCTATATTCATCCACTTTTTCCACACCATTGTTGCTTTATGGGTGTTGTTACCTTGATTACTTCAGGAGGCTTAGGCTTAGGTCTCCATTTCTGAATCTTTCCTCGATCACGACACTTGTGCCCTAGCTTTTGGCATTTCTCACAAAATATTGCCCTCCACTCATACTCCACAAGTTGCATTATCATACCACATGCACAATTCCTAATGGCAATTTCGTTGACCAGTTGTTGTGTATTATCCACTTCTACCAGAATACACGCATAAGACACACGTAATTTACTCTCCGTACATTCATCAGTCACAAGGGGGTACCAATTGCACTACCAATTTTGCTTAGGCTTTTTGCTCCCCAATGGTGGAAAGATAGTTAAGGAAGCTTGATCCAGATTGGCAGTTTTCTTAGTAGGTTTTTCTTCGGATTGAACTCAGGCCTTCATTCCTTCAAGATCATATGCATATTTCTGATCGTGTATGGGCCTTTCATCATCACCTAATCCCTATCTTTATGGGAGTTGAATCTTAGCAAAAAGTACCCTTCATCATGGTAGTAGAGATCTGGAATCTTCACGAAATTCCACATTTTCTGCATAAAATTCTTCACAGTGTTCATACTCAAATCCTCGCCCACCACATACAAAATCAAAGCATTATCCCAAAATTGAACCTCAGTTTCAATATCTTCTTGTTCAATTTCGATTTCAACCACACCATTCACCAGCTTAGGTGCCACATATTCCATAGTCAATTCTTTTGCAGGTCCCAGTTATCGCTAAGAACATCCATATAAAGTTTTTGTTCCTTCGGCATCGATTTCACATCTTCCGTTAGGGTTTCCGATCGCTCAATCTTGGATTTCTCATTGTTGTTGAAAACATCATCATCTGATTTTGTTTTTGTACTTGGCTTTTCCCCCTGAACCTCTGGCTTTGTATGATTCTCCGGCGATGGTGGCACCTTGGATTTCGCCCATCCACGCCCCCGTTTTGTCATCAGAGAGAGAGAGAGAAGTTTTTGACCATGACCTTTTATTATTATTATTACTATATTATTATTATTATTATTATTATTATTATTATTATTATTATTATTATTATTATTATTATTATTATTATTATTATTATTATTATTATTAAGTCTAATGTAAGATTCTTAAAAAAAAAGATTCTGGCATAATTGTTTTGGCTGACTATATGAATAGAATTCAAGCTTTTTAATATGATTGTAAATAATATATATATATATATATATATATATATATATATATATATATATATATATATATATATATATATATATATATATATATATATATATATATATATATATATATATATATATATATATATATATATATATATATATATATATATATATATATATATATATATATATATATATATATATATATATATATATATATATATATATATATATATTTATATATATATATATATGAGATATTGGATCAAACTCTAGTATGATCGAATGGTAGCTTCTGATTCGATAGGAATTAAGCATGAGGTCGAAGTATGTTCGCATGCTGCTGTCGGAGTAATGCATATTGTAGTCGAAGTTTGTTCTAACATGCTTTAGTCAATATTTCTAGAGTTGTTAGCATGTTGAATTGGGTCTTGCTTGTAAGCCCAATTGTTTAAGTTAACTTGTAATGGGTAATTGTTAAAACGCTCATTAAGTTAGTGTGCTATTTTTCTTATAAATAGGATGCTAGTTTCTCAATCTTGGCATAAGGAAAAATAGGAAGATAAAATCCTAATTTCAAGAGAGAGAGAGAGGTTATTTTGTTATTCTTGTATTCTTGTAATCTTATTTCTAAGAGAAAGGAAAGAATAACAGTTTATAACCAATCCTTGTTCCTTTTGTTTTACCTTATTTTCTTTGTTAACCCTAATCCTTGTGTGTTTCTTGATCATAAAGAAATCGTTTATACTTTGTTTAAAGACATCCGATTCACAACAAATTGGTGTGGTGAGCGTAGAGAAGATGCCTTCAACAAAGTATAAGATTGAAAAGTTCACCGGAGTGAACGACTTCAGTCTGTGGCGCTTGAAGATGAAAGCCCTACTGGTTCAGCAGGGTTGTTTGGAAGCGTTGAAGGGAGAGGCAGCCATGGACACTACGTTAACGACAAAAGAAAAAATGGGCATGATTGAGAAAGCCCACAACGCAATATTGTTGAGCCTTGGTGATAAGGTTCTTCGACAGGTATCAAAGGAGACTACAACATCGGGATTATGGGTGAAACTTGAAAGTTTGTACATGACCAAATATCTGGTGAATCGACTCTACCTAAAGTAAGCTTTATATTCATTCAAGATGAGTGAAGACAAAGTGTTGGCTGAGCAGTTGGATATGTTCAATAAGCTGATTCTTGATCTTGAAAATATTGATGTAAAGATCGATGATGAAGATCAAGCACTGTTGTTGCTGTGTGCTTTTCCCAAAGCACATGCTCACTTCAAAGAAACTCTCTTGTATGGAAGGGAGTCCCTGACCTTTAAAGAAGTTTAGTCAGCCTTGTATTTTAAGGACTTGAACGAACGAAAGGAGCATAAACCATCGACGGTGGGCGAAGGTTTGACCGTTAAGGGAAAATTCTTGCGAAAGGATGGTAAGTTCGATAAGAAGAAAGATAAAAGTCAACAAAAATCTTATAGTGGCGAAGCATCTGGTATCCGGTGTTATCATTGTAAGAAGGAGGATCACATAAGAAAGGTGTGCCCTGAACACCTGAAAGATCATGGAGGTAACGGCAACACAACCATTGTTTAAGATGACTTCGACTCATTTGATGTTCTTGTGGTTTCAAGTGGCGACTCGAGAAACGATTGGATTATAGATTTTGCACTTGGCACATGACTCCATATAGAGAATTTTTCGAGGAGATATGTGATCAAGATGGTGGATCTGTGCTGCTGGGAAACAACAAATCTTGCAAAATTACAGGTATTGGATTTGTTAGATTCAAGCTCCATGATGAGTCAATAAGGTATGTACCTGACTTGAAGAGAAATTTGATTTCTCTTGGTGAATTCGACAGAAAGGGATACGTTTTTCAAGGAGAGAAAAGTATCCTAAGAGTCATGAAGGGGTCGAAGGAAGTCTTGAGAGGCTTGAAGAAAAGAGGCTTGTATACCCTCGAGGATGAGGTCGTAAGTGGTTCGACAAATGTTACATCCATAAAACTTGTGTCGAAGACAGAATTATGGCACATGAGATTAGGCCATGTCAACGAAAGAGGCCTGGTCGAATTGGGGAAGCAGAACCTGCTAGGAGGTGACAAAGTCGAAAAGTTGTAGTTTTGTGAATCTTGTGTATTTGGTAAATCCTGTAGTGCGAAGTTTAACAAAGGCAAGCAAATAACACATGGATCCCTGGATTACATTCATGCTGATCTTTAGGGGCCTGCAAGGAATCCTTCACACTCAGGTGCAAGGTATTTTCTATCCATCGTTGATAACTATTCCAAAAAGCTATGGGTATTCATTCAGAAGACGAAGGATGAAACTTTTAAGAATTTCAAAAGTTGGAATATTCTGGTCGAAACTCAAACTGACAAAAAGGTTAAGAGGTTAAGAACCGACAATGGCCTTGAATTCTGCAACAAAGCGTTCGACAGCTAATGTGTTGAGTCTGGGATTGCAAGGCATAAGATTATAGCAGATACTCCTCAAAAAAATGACTTAGCTGGGAGATTCAATTGAACAATCCTTGAAAGAGTTAGATGCATGTTGGTTAGTGTTGGATTGAAGAAGGTGTTTTGGGCGAAAGCTGTTTTGACAACAGCTTACCTGATAAATAGATGTCCCTCGACTGTCTTGGGAATGAAGACACCTGAAGAAGTTTGGTCGGGACATCCACCTAGTCTCGACAGACTGAGAGTATTTCACTATGTGGCCTATGCTCATATTAGGCAAGACAAGGTTGAACCTAGAGCTCTGAAATACATGTTAGTGGGATACCCCGAAGAAGTCAAAGCTTATAGGCTATGGTGCCTAGAGCAAGGTCACAAGAGGTGTGTCATCAGTCGAGATGTAGTTTTCAATGAAGCAGAGATGGCTTTCAAGAAACCTAATGATGCTGACGAAGAGTTGGAACAAAGAGAGATTCCTGTTAAGGTAGAGCATGTTGATGTTCAATTGCCTACCCCAAATAAAGTCGAAGAAGACGCAGAAGATGTTGTCGAAGATGAGGAGACTGATAATGACTACCTGCTAGCAAGAGACAGGTCGAGGAGAGTCATCAAGCCACCTCAGAGACTTGGGTATGCAGACCTTATATCTTATGCCTTAATCTCTAGAAGTGAGGTTCTAGACGAAGAACTTAGAGGCTATAAGGAAGTTATGAGGAGTCGAAAGAATACTGAATGGCTGAAGGCCATGGATGATGAGATGAAATTTCTTTATAATAACAACACCTGGGAACTGATCAAGAAACCTGCTGGAGCCAGGTTAGTTAGCTGTAAATGGATTTTCAAAGTTAAGAAAGGAATCGAAGGAGTGGCGTCGAAGAGATACAAGGCAAGCTTTATTGCTAGGGGGTTCACTAAAAAAGAAGGTGTCGAATTTAATGATGTGTTCTCTCCTATTGTGAAGCACGGATCCATTGAATGTTACTTGCCACAGTGGCACAGTTCAACCTTGAACTTGAACAAATGGATGTGAAGACTGCGTTCTTATATGGTGACTTAGATGAAACAATCCTGATGAGGCAACTTGAAGGGTATGTCGAAAAAGGGAAGGAAGATTATGTGTGCAAGCTGAATAGATCCTTATATGGACTGACACAATCTCCTCGACGGTGGAATAGGAGATTCGACAAGTTCATGGCACGCATAAGTTTAATCAGAAGTCAGTTCGACCATTGTGTTTACTTCAGATTTCGACCGGGTAATTCATTTGTTATTTTGTTGCTCTATGTGGATGATATTCTAATAGCAAGAAACAATGTCAAAGATGTAATGAGGGTGAAGGCTAAACTCAATAAGGAGTTCGACATGAAAGATCTGGGAGTTGCGTCCAGGATTCTTGGGATTGACATTCGAAGAGATAGAAAGAAGTTGAAATTATGCTTATCTCAAGAGGCATACCTACGGAAGGTCCTCGAAAAGTTTGGTATGTCGAATGCAAATCCTGTTGTGACTCTGAGAAACCCTCAATTCAAGTTAAGTATAGATTAGTGTCCCAACACCGATGTTGAAAGAACTTATATGAATAGCATTCTATATGCTAATATAGTGGGTTCTTTGATGTATGTTATGGTATGTGCTAGACCCGACATATCATATGCAGTAAGTCTTGTAAGCAGGTACATGGCGAATCCTGGAAAGCCTCGCTGCCAAGCATTGAAGTGGATTCTAAGGTATATAAATGGGTCTCTGAATAGAGTCCTAATTTATGGTGGAGCCTTGGGTGAAGATAGTAAACCAACAATCAAAGTCTATTCACATGTTGCTGATATAATCACCAAGACGTTGCCCAGTTGCAAGTTTTTCCACTGTATGCAATTCATAAAGCTACGTGAAGAAAGCTAGTTTCTTGATGTTATAGAGTTAGATCCAAGGTGGAGATTTATGAGATATTGGATCAAACTCTAGTATGGTCGAAGGGTAGTTTCTGGTTCGACAAGAATTAAGCATGAGGTCGAAGTATGTCCGCATGCTGTTGTCGGAGTAATGCGTGTTGTAGTCGAAGTTTGTTCTAACATACATTAGTCAATATTGCTAGGGTTGTTAGCATGTTGAATTGGGCCTTGCTTGTAAGCTCAATTGTTTAAGTTAGCTTTTACCCTAAGTTAGCTTGTAATGGGTAATTGTTAAAAAGCTCATTAGCTTAGTATGCTATTTTTCTTATATATAGGATGCTAGTTTCTCAATCTTGGCATAAGGAAAAATAGGAAGATAAAATCCTAATTTCAAGAGAGAGAGGTTATTTTTTTATTCTTGTATACTTGTAATCTTGTTTCTAAGAGAA